CATCGAGCGAAAATAATGGTGGATTTTACTTTTTTAAATCTGCGAATGCGTACAGCGCGAAAATTCGCCGCTTAAACGAAGCGGTAATCCGGCTAAGAGTAAGCCGCGAGCAATGCTTTTGAAAATTCGTTCCATCAACGGTAATTTATCGCCGGCCTCGACCCCTGGCGAACCCCCCTTCGGTCTAAATACGCAGATTTCAGTAGTCGAAGCCGCGTGTATGTCACGGTGATCCCAATAACGGCATGCGCGCAGATAATTTGCTGCATTAGTATCGTACACGGTGTACAGACTGGTTTCATATAATTAGGCACACGATTGGGCGCGGCAAACACGCGATTATGGATTATTCGTTCGGTGTGCAACGGTACGCAAATACGAGTATCCCAAATTACGAAATGGGAAACGGGGCGCAAACCTTTCTGCCATATATCTTTCATGCGACCGCAGAGATAGCTGTATATAAAGAAATCGCAATTTATTTATTTAGCCAAACGCCGGTGATGTTAATTATTTTAGTTGCTTTTTCCTATCATATAATCATAATTATTCTTAAATTCTTATTTTATTATTCCCACCAATATTATTCACCAAAATGATTCGGCGGCAACGCGCAATATAAAACTCTAAAAGAATGTTCATCTTCGCCTCGAATTGTCTATATATAAATCCGTCCTGACTGAATCTATCGATGAGATATCAAAGCGGAGCGCTACCGACTCATTGACGCAACGGCGAGCGAAATTTTGCGAAAAGAGAGAGAAAGAAAGAGAGAAAGAGTCCCCCTGAAAAATGGGATTACTGCGAAACCGTGTTCTCGTCGGGAAGAGGATAGGGAATTAAACGGCCTTCGAACGCGGCCCAAATAATTGATGCACGTCAATTAGATTTGTCAGGCCAATCGTCGTAATTAAATCAACAGGAACGCGAGGCATGAACACGTACACATAACTGTCGACGGTTACACACGCGTACCTCGCGCGCGTGTGCACATACGTATCTTCGCGTACGACTATCTGGGGACCGCGGTACACGAGAGAGAACGAGAGAGCGAGAGAGAGAGAGAGAGAGAGAGAGAGAGAGTCCGCGGCGTGAAATTTAAATTTCTCCGATACCGGACACCGATAATCCCGTTGATTCGTCGAAACCGCCGGCAATTCATGCTGCACTTTTCCGGTAACGGTTAACTATTCCGTTAAGTGACGCAGCCATTATCAATTATGATCAATTATCCCTCGCAGAATGCATTTAAAATAGATAACAAACGAGAGTCAAATAATCTTCCTTTTTTGAAATCAACTTGCTTCTGTTAAAAAAAATTCTACGAAGGATCAGATTTTCATTTACGCCAGGTCGCTAAAAACTCGTAACGCGCGACACGTGTTTGGATCACAGCCCGAAACCATTTGAAAAATCGTGACTTATTATTAAATCAATTTTTGTACTAAATCAAACTATACTTACTATAAAATGGATGGAATTGGTAATGGATGGAAAATGCGGAAGACTGATGCCGCTGGTACTTTAATGCGGAAAGGTTTCGAAGTGAGTCATTGTGGGAGTCCGCTTTAACTTTTGTTATTTATTTAAAGAGTTAATTCCGTTACAGACATTTTCCGCATTACTATGGAAATTCACTGGAAAACACACGAGAATCGATAAGAAGTCCGATCCGTTCGATCATCGCAAAGAAAGAAAGAAGTTAGATATTGATGAAATATGGGAGCACATGCGCGCGCGCTCGCGCGTTTTTCGTCGACGTGTGTAATGCAACAGGTTTCTTCGCTTATTTTCGTAGCACCGCAGGTCGGCGCAAGAGTGATATCGTGTAATATAACTCGAAACACCCTCTCGCTGTGCTGTCCCGCTATATTCAGGGGGTGGAACCGACCGGTTCACCGAGCGCTCGCATTTAATCGGTCACGGTTGTTCAACGGTTTACTTACGAATTAATCAACGTGACAACAAGCTGCAATAAATTTACGTTTCTATAGTGAAGAAATTCACGGCGCTTAATCACTCTTCTTCACAGTGAGACGTTCGTTAACGCAGAAATATTTCTTAGCACACGCACCATGGCACTTTACTTGAGCGATTGCCAATTTGTTCTTGGCGATACGAGAAATATTAAAAATTGTACTCTGTTGATTCAATTATTTTTCTTTGGTCTTCGTCGAAGGAGATTTATATTTATAAGTAAACCTATCGACATGCGATTTTTACTATTTACAGTTTAGAGATTATTGCTCGAAGTTCGCGGCGTAGGATCTTGCCGGCAGGATTCTTCGGTATGGCATCGACAAATTGCACCCCGCCATACAGCCATTTTTGCGGCGACAGTTTCTCTGCAAGATAAATTGAATTTCTCGGTTAATGTATGTACAGGTCGTCGCTCGGCTCGCGTTTACTATTAAAATGCAATGTCAAGATGCGGGCGGAATATTTCCACGCTCATGCTGCGCTGTATATTTAAATTACAAAGACAGCGGGGATAACTAACAATTTTGTTAATCGCAGCATTTAATATTATTACAACGTGATGTCACTAATAACTATAATAATATCGTTAATAATGTTATGTAATGTTGATTGCTGTTACTATCTCACTTCTGGCATCATGTTTTACTTATTTATTTAAAATTGAATATATACTATGATGATATATACTACTGAATAAATAACTTTTATTATATATTGTAAGCAATTCATTAAATTTTTAATTTTTGATCTAATAAATATATATGTATATATATCTCTAATATTTTTAAATCTACTTTGAAATGCTTTTTTAAACTTTATTAATTTAAATGTAGAGAAAATATAAAATAAAAATTTTTCATCGTGATGAAAAGAGTCAAATCAAGTATGACATATGAAGGGAACAAAATAGCGTGCACTCTTATCCGAGACTTTTTCATAGTGAGAGAAATAATTAATAATGTTCTAATTGAAGAACATTTTAATGAAGCTGCGAGAAATGATAAAAAAATTTAGGTTGAGTGACAACTCACGTTTGACGAGTTCCTGTAAATCTTGAGCGGTGATCGTGGCGCCGGGTTGCTTCGCTACAAAAGCCACGGGAACCTCGCCGCTGCGTTCATCGGGTTTGGCGGCGACCGCGGCGTCTTTTACCGCGGGATGCGACAGTAAGACGGTTTCTATCTCCGACGGTGAAACTTGATAGCCTTTGTACTTGATCAGCTCCTTGACGCGATCGACCACGTGCAGTCTCTCCTTGCTGTCGAAGTAGCCGATGTCGCCGGTGTGAAGCCATCCGTCCTGGTCGATGGTCTGTCTGGTCGCTTCGGGGTTGTCCCAGTAACCCAGCATCATTTGCTCTCCGAGGTAGCAGATCTCGCCCACCTGGCCAGCCTCTAGGGTTTCTTGTGTCTCGAGATCAGTCACTTTGCAGAGGAAACCAGGCACGAGCCGCCCGGATCCTGGATTCTCGAACAAATGGTCATCGTCGTCGTCGCGCCCGCTCAAACCGCTCACTATCGACAATTCCGTCATGCCGTAGCCGTTGCGAACGCATTTTACGCCGAGACGAGCAATTACCGCGGCTGCGACCTGCGAAGAAAAAAAGGAAATTGCTTTAAATTTTTTCCATTGTTTTCAAAGTGCATGCGTCAACATCGATTAAATTAATCTAATTAATCAATGCGAAAGAATTAACATTAATGACTTGTAAAGTACTGCTCTACGAATATCACACATTAATGTTATTTTGTAGTATTAATTTTCGAAATTTGTCACAGGATATCATTTATTTTTAAGTCTCATAAGAAGAATTTTTAACTATTATTATAGCTATAGAAATTAACAGTAGAAATTTCATTCAATATGAAAATTAATAATATATATATTAATGTAATCAATTTTATTCATTCTCCTGTTTTCAATGTCCGTCTGACCTTGCTATTGTTGTCTCAATCATGCGTGAGACAAAGGCAACAATATCCAACTAGAAGATGGCATTCAGGGGACATTTAAGTTTCAGAGGCGTGTTTGATTTTCAAAACTTTAAGAGACCCTCTTCACCCCTTTTCCGTCTTTGGGGGATTCTGTCCACCGATAAGAGATCAGTTTCGCATTTTCCGAAAGACGCGATTGCGAAACTCGCGAGAATGCGGCCTTCTATTTTCTTCTCCTCCTACTCCTCCTTAGCGACTTCGTGAACCGGTTAAACAAAAACGAACGCGATAAAGTTACTCCCCGGGCCGTGTCTAGTGAAAATGCGACGACTCCCCGGGACTTCCTCTCGCAGTCCCTCGTTCAATCCTCTCACCGCAGCCGCGGCATCGAGGACTCACTTCGGCACTTAGTCCCGCCGATGGCTGCTTTTCTTGCCGTGATAACTTGGCCGAGGGGTGACGGGGGGAGGGAGTGGGAAGGGGGTTCGGTAGGTAGAGGGACAAACTTCACGATGACAGAAGAAAACTTACGTCCTTCGAAAGCGGCGCCGCTCCGCAGATGAGTTCTCTCACGCTGCGAAAGTCGTACCTATCCACCAGCGGGTGTTTCGCCAGGAACGTCAGGATCGGCGGCGCCAGCGGCAGATGGGTGACCTTATGCTCCTGCACCAGGTTTAGGAAGAGTTCCGGCTCGAAGGCGGGCATTATGATCATGGTGCAGCTCGCGAAAAGACCGAGTATCAGCGTGCCCATTCCGTAGCCATGATAAAACGGTAGCAACATCAATATTTTGTCACCACTTTTTGTGTTCAGATACTCAGGTTTGCTGCATTTTTAAATCATATTTGAATTATAGAATCAAATCCTTAATTGCTTTCAATCGAGAAAATGGTACTTTGTTGTCTTTCCGGACGACTGTACACGTAGAGTTCGCAAATAAATTGTAAAGTTAGAATTTACATTAACATTATAGTTAAAAATAGTCTGGAAATAATTGAAAATGATATTACATTTTGTGCTAAATTAAAATATCTCTTTAAATTAAACGCTTAACGCCCGCGTTTTTAATCAAATGCATATTGATTTTAGTGCCGTTTGAAACTGTATTGACTAATAGAAAAAAATGACATATATGTAAAACTTGCCTCATTTTGATTAAAAACGCCATTAAATTTTTATGAGACAGCGTCACTCCTTTCGGCAACCCCGTGGTGCCGCTCGAACAGAGAATAGCCAACGGATGCTGACTCGGATCACCGATATTTGCAGCCTTATATCTCATCATGTATCCCGAAAAATGGTATTCCATACTCGATTCTTTATTTAAGATACTCTTTAACGTTCGGACGTTTGCCGTGAATGGTTGATCGTCTAGTTGTATTAATTCCATTTCCCAGGATAACTTCGGTAGGATCTTAGCGAGGAGCTTTTCGGTGCGCTGAGACACGAAAACGATACGCGGCTTCGCGATATTTAATATATGCTGGAATTCATCTAAATGGTAAACAATTGAAATCAATTGGCGTTTAAACTCGGCAGATATTGTTGATAATTATTGTACTCGTATATTTATAAGTTACACTTATAATTACACTTGTCGATATAAATCAGATCATTTTAGATTAAATCATTAGATATAAAAATTCGTGACTGCTTTTTGCAAGAAAATGTGCATAATACAGATAATATGTACGTGTATACACATATAATACGCACACATATATTATAAATATTATATAATAATACTTTTACTTACATTCTGTGTACATAGGATTGTACGGTGCAACTATAGCACCGAGATAATAGCTCGCGTAAGCTGGTATTAACCAATCCAATCGATTTTCAGTTGCGATGCCAATTCTGTCTCCGATTTTTATCCCGTACTCTTGTAAAAACTTCGCGAATCTCACGCTTTTGTCGAGTAATTCTTTACATGTCAACCGCTTGCCGGTTGGTCCGTCTATCTACAAGAAAGTGATATCTCTTTATATTGTATAAAATCGATATAATCATGAAATATTCTAAAGAGAATAAAAATAATCCTTTTAATTTAGCTTTACATGCTAAATAAATATTCGATTTTTTTAATACACGTTAAAATATGTATATTGTGAAGCTTATATATCTAAAAACCTTACACTAAAATTTAATGTAAAATACAAATGTGCTTAATAATACAACTACAAAAATTGTATTATTTTTTTATGACTGTAAAATATATAAATGATTAAATATCGCCCTTTTTAAAGTCTTATTTTAAAAAATATCTTTTAAATTTCTAGTACTTGGAGCTTAAAAGGAAATTAACATAAAAATGCGACGTGAACAGGCTGGGGACTAAGCGTTATAAGCGACGCATAATGCGACAGGGAAAATTCAGAGAGGAAACTCGCGAATTTCGCCTCCGGCGATTAGCGCCAATGGAATTACAAAAAAAAACTTTCGTTGTTTTGGCGCGCTATGTTATTATATCTCGAAATTTCACAGGCGATCGGCCCGTAATTGGCAATCGCTACTATGGGTTTCGTAATTATGGTACATACTGCATAAACATGATTGCCGTTTTCACGCAATTTGTTCAGTATTACTTCTCCCAGAGATACATTTGGCGTTGGCTGTTCCAGACGACGCTCATATATCTTTCCCATCTTTGCAACAATATATAGTGGAGTTGATCCGTCAAGCAGCGATGTTTATCTAAAAAATAATTTAAATTCTAAATTAAATTGCTTAGTGCAGAACAGTGAAAATTTATTCAATAAGATTATCGCTTGTATATTTATCAAGAACAAGTACTTTGATTTATGGCCAATAAACAAGCAAAGATTTTAGATGCTAAATATATAAATTCATATATTTTCACTTATATAATAATTCGTAATGAGACGTTTTGATCTAATTTGGTTTTCTTCAGTCGTTTTTAAAAATTAACTACATTATGTACTAATAAAATTGATGTTAAAACATTTACATTTTAAAAAAACTTTGTAATTAACTATAAGATTGACATGTATTATTCGCATAAATTGAGTATAATATCGACAACATCTTAAATAAATATAAGTTATGTCAAAAATGGAGTCAAGAATTTGAATGAGTCGGTGAAGTAAATTAAAAGTCGCAAGTTAAAGATGTAACAAATTATCGTTGTTTCCTATGTGAGAATATCTTGTCCCGATGTTGTTTTATGTTTTTCGTGTCCAAATGATACAGCTGGTGGATGGCCGTTTTTTTTATTTTTCTGTCTAATAAAAGAGATTTTTGGTAAAGTGACGTTTGCAGTTTTTTTCTCCCCAAAGTTAATAATTATTTCGCTGAATTTTCACTTACTGTGTACGTCCGATATAGGGTGATCAACTTCGTAAACCCATGTCGCGTGATGTTTTTCAATGTGTGAACTCTCAAGCACAATTATAGTGAGTTCCCCGATGAAAGCGAATAAAATATATACTACAAAGCTCGCGATGACAATAACAATATAAACACATTTTTAAGCATGAGAGTCCTTGATAAGTATGTCGAAATAAACATTGTTGTGCAATTCTGTATCTTTATTTAAATTAATTCCGTTGGTTTGCTCTTTTATATGTATCATTTCAGAGATCAATCTTTTTTTTGTAATTTGGTTCGAAATCAATTATTTTAATAGTCTTTTATTTGTTTTTATACTATTTTAATAGTATTTTATTAGTTATCCCAGTCAAACGAGTGATTAAAATCTAAAATGTGTTGTGTGATAAATGAATTGTTTGGATGACTCTAATCTGATATTATTAATATGCTCCTTAATTAATTCTTGTTTTAGGCATTCTTTTTGTCTATTCTACCGCGATAATGTTTATTTAAAATTCCTCTAATTTTTAGATTAGGAAATAAAAACACTATAATTATAAATTAATATATAATTTAATATTAAAAATATTATATATAATAAAAAAATTAAATGTAAAAATCTAATAGGTTATTTATATAAAATTTCTGTTGAGTATATAAGCCGGCTGTAAATCTGTTATGTTAAAATTAATATAATCTAAATTCTTTATTAAAGTGTTCATTCTCCATGTGTTCAGTTTTCAAAATTGAAAAATTCTTTTAATTATTCATCTTTATTGTATAAGTTTGAAGCAGCGAATCGAACATTTATCTTCAGCGCACCAAATTATGATCGGTAAATGTTGGTAATGCGTGAAGATGACCGCGAGAGCGCGTCACAGTCGCGCGCAGTCTCGCGTTTCGCTCGACGGTGAGCGTCGTTCATTCGATTTTGCGGCTCGAACTTTTGAAATAAATTCGAATTGCGTCAGCAGGTACCTAATTTTACATTAAACGCATTTCCCATTATCTATTACAGTTGTCTGGCACAAAAATCTAATGTCTTGTGCGGCAACTCGATAGGATTAGCACGGATCACGATTTCAGAGAAAATCGCTATTTTTGCGTCGCCATTATCACGGTTTCGTTTTGCACCTATCTTTCCAGAATCCGGATATTGAAGCGAGATGAAAGCGGCCCGGATACGAGAACGGTGGACTATCTATGGACGGATGAGAAAACGGAAGGACGAGGAACGAGATAATCGAGATGGTGAATGCCGCCACGGTGAGTTACGAATAGATACTTATTCATTGATATTCATTACGCGACGCTATTGTAAGTAAAGCAAGTGGCAGAGATCGCGTGATCATACGACTTCACTCGAGCGTATTATGAGTGTGCGATACTTTGAATTTGTCAGCGTCGCAAAATCAAGAACAATGCCAGCTTACAATTTTATAGTAAATACAATTATATGTATAAATTTATGTGAAAAAACGTATATGAATTAATACATGCTATGTACATACATTTCTGTTTCTATTATATAACTTCTCATTTCGAATTCATAAACAAACGTAAACTCAAATTATATCTTTGTACATATATATGTACATATTTTCTCTAATCATATTTTTTAAAGTTGAAACTCAATTACTTTTTAAAATTAAATCAGATTTACTTTCTACATGATATTAAATTTTTTTCAGAATAAATTTATTAATAATTATCCTTTTGATTATACTGTCAATTAACTATAACAACTAATAATTAATTAAAACGTGATTAGAATATAATATAATTTTCGGCAATTAAGCAAAATTTTATACGTGCATTCAAGCAATGCTAGACATTACGCGATTGAAGGAGCGATGCCATAAAAATCCGGCAATCGCTCTATTTCCATTAGAATGTATGGCATGGTGTTCCTCCGGCATTCAGCTGGATGTCCTTGGATATACAGAATGATATCGGGTGGAGGGATAGAGGGAACGGGAATGCGTTCTCCCGGGGTTTATACGTGGGAAGGGGATGGAGAGGCGTGCCATGAGTTCCACGCTGTGGCCATAATCGTGAGGAAAAAGTACGAGAAATTCTTAAATACCATCGTTCAAGTTTCTCTGTTCCCTAGGTACGTCTCAAGATACGACATTTTAAGATACTATTTTTTTTTGTGCTTTCACAAACATATTGTCTGATAACATTTCGCGCACGACGTACTAAGATGTACAATAATAGCGTTTGAATAAAATTGAGTGACACTCACATCGAGCGATTTATATAATTTATTATATAAATTAAAAATTTTATAAGCTATGCAAACTGCAAAATTAAAATTATCTCCGCGAATTGAGTTCACGTAAATTATAAGATTTTATGTTAAGAATGAAAAAATTATGAATTTAGTCTATCTTTGCTCTGAAGAGTCCATACAATGGGTCAGAATTATTTTATTCCTATATATCATTTATAGATGGCACAAACAAATAAACAAGAATATAAATTGTAAATTGTCATTTATTTCAATTTTAAAATTTCGTTTGTGAGCAGTTATTTATTAAATTAATATTTCGAACTTATAGATTGAATCAAAGTTAAAATTAAAATAAATAAAAGCAATTTATAAATTGTATTTTTATTTATCGATTCAGAATTAATATCTAAGCAATAAAAATGAAGCAATTAATTTTTGGGACATCTTGTATAATGTTGTGGTTAAAGGCCACTTTAAGTTTTGCTAGGCACTTGAGTACTTTTTAATCTCGTATCTTAAAAATTCTTGAACTGAGAAAGAGTTAAGAAAACTCTTTCAAAATAGCTTTTTTTAGTACTAAGTTGTAATTTTTATTGAACGTTAATTTCTGACTTTATCAGTAGATCTCTGACTATTGAGACTTTGATTACTCGTTAAAAAAATAAATAAATATAGGTAAAATATACAAAAGAGAAAGAATGGAGCACGCACATCGGTATGGTCAGATTGCGGGCGAACCAACTTCCGGCGTTCCCCGCGGCATATGCACCGTATCCGCGGGAATGCATGCGACGGTGTGCATCCGGTATCCAGCCGCTCGTCTTCGGGTATCCGCGCGGGGGAAGAAGGGAGAGCAGGGGACGACTATGGGCGGGGGATGCGTTCTCGGGAATCGCTGAAGTGCTGGGGAATCGCTCTTCGGGGTTAGTCTAGTCGTCGACGTCGTGGACGAGGTCCCGGGGGAGGTTCTAGAGGGAGGCTAAGGAAGCTTTGGGACGTTACACGGAGGACGGGTGGGTGGTCGAGGGCGCGTGCCACTCTGATTGTAGCGGCCATACTAGGACACTGGAGCCACATACCGACAATTCTTGGCCTCATGCGACATGCCTAGACACCCCAGGAATACTTACAATCTCCCGAGGTTGAAGAGATTGAATGCGAGAGAATCCCTGTTACACGTGAGAATCTCTGTTACTTTCGTTCTCTTCACGCATTGTAATTACGTTAAAAAAAAAAGAAAACTTGCGGTCTTTTTATTAATTTATATTTTTCTGCGTTTTTCTTCTCATGTTCCAACGGAACTGAAGCGGAATCTCCTCGATCTTCGTAAGTTGATTATAATAATGCATATATCGAAAGGTCCCTTTGTTTTAATCTCTTTAAATTTAAACTCTTTGCGATGAAACATAAATTAGTTGGCTTTAAAAATATTTTCTTCATAAAGTAAGAAAGGAGAACAAAGAGTAATTGCAATTCTCAATTACCAAGATAGGAGGGAGTATATACCAAGAAGTAACAATAAATTAATATTTACCTTGTAATTTTGTCTGAGAAAAAGTTGAGTTTAAATCCGTGAAAAAAAATACCGTTCTGTTATATTTTTAATTACATTATAAATATATAGTGTATCTACTTGAGAATCTTAGTCAAAATATATCACCATGTTAAGTTAAATAAGCTCAGGAAATTTCATATGGAAAGTCGATTGAAGAGTCGGAAAGTCGCGGTGAATTTTTATCGAAAACGTGCGGATGCTCATCGATGTAAATCCCTCTCAAAGCTGACACGCCGGTAATATAAGAACAACCATTTCCAGCTTCGCACGAATATTCTCGTGAAATCTTATCGCCGTACAATGCCTCGCGATTAATCGTAACAAACGGGCAGTGAGGGGAGGGATAGTTCGTCTGAGCGACTGCCGATATCATTTCGGGATTCCTCATTAGGACACACTCGACTTCCGCCAGAAGCTGCGCACCGTCGCTCTTTGGAATCGAGCGATTTTGCAGGCTGCTGCTTGCCGCGTTGAACGTAAGGCCGCGACTTAACGGAATTAACGACAGGCTACGCGCTCGGAGGACGCTTTGAGGGCGGCCGCGAGCGAGCGGCAGGGCTGCGAGGGCGGAGG